GTCCCAGCTCAGCTTCTGGCAACTGGTGAAGTCAGTGAGCTGGGCGGGAAGCCGCGCACTGTGCCATAGGTTGCTAAGAGCTCTCAGCCGCCCCACCACCACCCAGCTGCTCAAAAATGAGATGCCTCCTGAGGCAACCGCTTCAGGCTGCCTCATTATAGGGACCGCCCTGGCTCTATCAGCTCTTTATTAAATAAGGTCATTAGTTGTATCTGCAGCTTCTGCTGACATGAAAAGTTTGAATGACATAGGTATGAGGCGTTCAAAAACAAACAACGGGATAAATCACAACCTCATCAACAGCCCATATACACCCTGGGCAACCTTACCCAACGCACAGACAAGGGTAATTGCCTCATGTCCTACTAGTTCAGTTCACACAGCCACACCGGAGTGGTTTGTGCGTGATGTGCCGCACGTATTGTACCGTGCTGCAGTAAATAAACATGGATGACATGTCATTTTGTGACATTTCAATACAGTTGAAAAAAGTGATTTTGCTCCCAATAACGGTCTCCTCCTTCTAGTCACTAACTTTCCATTGGCTAAAACAAAAATGAGCAAGCCTGAAAAAAAAAACCCGCACAAAAGACGCTTTGAAACCGCCTGAAAGGCTGACATTGAAGTGTGACTAGGGCTTACATGTATACTGTGTGAATGAGAAGATAAGTCATAATAATTATAAATAGGTGTCATCACAATCTGGCTGTACAAAGTGGAAATCCACGTCACACAATTCCACGTCACACAATTTAGAAGGTGAAGGCCGCTTTCAGCCTGAGAGACCCCTGTAAATTAGAGGGAGACCCCTCAAACCAGTATGTGGCCATTGCCTGGCCCAGAGCAGATCAGTGCTGTGTGTTAGTCAGTGGTGGGACTAGGTCAGTGCTGTGAGGAGATCAGTGCTGTGTGTTCAAAGGCGCCCATACACATTGCGATTATTGTTCGGAAATCGAAACATGATCGGGTTTTCGTACGATAATCGGCCAGTTGATGGGAAGTGAACGGTCACAATTACTGTACTCCTGGCCCGAATTTCCTCGATCGGTCAGGCTGGAAAACTTTTTTCAAATCGTAGAATTAGTGGCGTTTTCATACGGAAAAAAAGTGCAACATGAACACTGCACATGCACAAACGAAAATCTGTTCTGTCAATCGACGAAATCTGTTCAGTTAGTATTGCTAAGGAACGATAACTGAAATCCACATTGGTCTATGTATGATGGGGTATTCCAGCGAAAATTGAATACGGGGTTCAATGACGGCACAAAAGAAATCGAATGATAATTGTAAGGTGTATGGCCAGCTTATGTCAGTGTTGGAACTAGGTCAGTGCTGGATCTAGGTCAGTGCTGGGACTAGATCATTGCTTTGAGGAGATCTGTGCTGTGTGTAAGCCAGTGCTGGGACTAGGTCAGTGCTTTGAGGAGAGGTCAGTGCTGGGACTAGGTCAGTGCTCTGAGGAGAGGTCAGTGCTGGTACCAGGGCAGTGCTGTGAGTTGATCAGTGCTGGGACTAGGTCAGTACTTTGAGGAGAGGTCAGTGCTGGGACTAGGTCAGTGCTATGAGGAGAGATCAGTGCTGGTACTAGGGCAGTGCTGTGAGGTGATCAGTGCTGGGACTAGGTCAGTGCTTTGAGGAGAAGTCAGTGCTGTCAGAAGATCAGTGCTGGGACTAGGTCAGTGCTAGGACTAGATCATTTCTTTGAGGAGAGGTCAGTGCTGTAAGGAGATCGGTGCTGGGACTAGGTCATTGCTTTGAGGAGAGGTCAGTGCTGTGAGATCAGTGCTGGGACTAGGGCAATACTTGGACTACGTCAATGCTTGGACTAGGTCATTTCTTTGAGGAGAGGTCAGTGTTAGGATTAGGTCGGTACTGTGTGTAGATCAGTGCTTTGAGGAGAGGTCAGTGCTGGGACTAGGTCAGTGCTTTGAGGAGAGGTCAGTCCTGGGACTAGGTCAGTGCTTTGAGGAGAGGTCAGTGCTGGGACTAGGTCAGTGCTTTGAGGAGAGGTCAGTGCTGGGACTAGGTCAGTGCTTTGAGGAGAGGTCAGTGCTGTGAGGAGATCAGTGCTGGAACTAGGTCATTGCTTTGAGGAGAGGTCAGTGCTAGGATTAGGTCAGTGGTGTGTATAGATCAGTGCTGTGTGTCGGTCAGTGCTAGGACTAGGTCATTGCCTTGAGGAGGGTCAGTGCTAGGATTAGGTCGGTGCTGTGTGTACATCAGTGTCATGAAGTCTCCCTCACACCCCGGCGTCTCCTCAGTGACACCAGTCAGTGGTAGTTGAAGTGTATTGAGTGTAATCAGCTGATCGGCCGATCACTGTGGGAAGGAGGAGGACACCCAGCTGATGATGATGAGGAGTCTCCTCCCGCCCGCCTCCTGTAGAAGTTGAATGGAGTGAGTGTGATGAGCCGGGACTCCCCCTCCGGATCCCGATCCTCCTTAATGAGAGTTGAGGAAGGAGTTGTATAAAGAGCCGCCCTCCCGCCCTCATTCTTCTGCACTCTCCACCTGAGCACTGCACATAGACACCTCTATCCACCTCGTCCACCCGCACCGGGCACCGCACACAACTTCTCCGAAGCTCCCTCCAACTCTCCCTCCTCCATCTATCCGGGAGACCGAACCACCATTCTCCGCCACAGAGGACCGACAACCAGCCACCGTGGACTCTGCAGAGGAATCAGCTGTGGGCTTATACACCATGACCACCCTCAAGGCAGACAATGAACATAACAATAATAATATAGAAGAGGAGGTAAGTGAGTGCTGACAAACATTTCATGGCTTCTCCACCCACCAAGCCCAGCCGACAACTCTTTGAAGGTTCCCAGCCTTGTCCCGGAGTTCTTGTGTCCTGTCACTCGGAATCCTTGTTTGTAAATAGTGAAAGCGCTCTCTCCTTTCTTCATACAGCCGTGCAGGGGGCCACTAACATATTGTACACGTACATGGATATATACAGAGGTGTCTCTAACGTCATCCATCCAGGGGGCCAGGAACATTACATTGTACAATTGCACAGATATGTCTCTTCTTACTTCATACATCCATCCATCCAGGGGGCCACAAACCTTACATGTTACACCTACATAGAATACAGCTATGGCTCTTCTAACTTCAACATTACATGGTATATTTATTAGAAAAAGTTGATAACTTCCATCCATTCAGGGGTTTCCCAAATATTACATGGCAATGTATATAGATCCAGGGGGTTCACAAAATTCACATGGTACACCTGATGCAAAAAATTGCACCAATTTCTATATGCACTTTTTAGCATTTGTTTGAATAAACTGTTACATGTCGATTTCATTAATTTGATGGTGCTGTGCTTCATGTGGATCATCATCCTCTCCCCTCTGGTTTGGCTCTGCTCTGTCCACCCGTCAGCCCTGCCACGGGATTTACACCATTGTAATAACCATGTAGACATTACCAATTTCTAACTAGAACCTTTTGGATCAAGGGCTTATTTTGGTGTTCACATTAGAAACTGTTGCATGTCACTTTTAAAGTGCTTTGTGTAACACACAGCGCTTGCATAATGACATTGTTTACATGGGTTGAAAAAGACACATGTCCACTGTGTTCAACCTGTAGTGGGGGGACCCTCCAAAGCACAAACCCTTTGCCCACAGGTTATTGTTGTTGTTTTGGCCTACATAAAGTACATCAATATATAGCCTACAAAAGTCATAACCCCCCCCCCCCAATTGACAATCACGGCTATGACTTGCCTAGGGGTAGTGATTGTGTTAATGTGCACACTTCATCAGGTTGTTCCTTCTATACATTCTAGTGGAAAATGTATATTCTTTCACCCTATGGTGCCTTTAATCTCAATATTTACCACCTGCACCTCCTTTGCTGTGACTGCACAAATAAACCGGAATCTGAATGACGTATGTACAATTAAAGCTGGGTATACAGTTACAAAATCGTATATAAAATCTCATTCTGCTATAGATAGTTAATGGATTCAAATCGATTAGTTATTAGAAATTAAAGAGCTCCAAAAATAAAATTTTGAACAAAATGCTACTGGCTTATACACTGCTGAAGAAACTAACTTTTGCCACAACACTCATGATTTAGGTTTTCGTTTTTTTTGTAACCAGTTCCTGTGGTGGACTGCCCTCCTGCACTTTTACAGTGTTTTACAGTAAAGATCCCTTTCCATAAGCAGAATGTGAACTGCTCATTTTTTTGCAGTGACCTCAGAATGGATACTTCCCCTGAGTTTATGTGGACCCTTTGTGTATTAATAAGGTGGCCATCGTATTTTGTCTTCAACTATTTGCAGATAAATATCTAACTCATTCCTTATATCAATATATAGCTGTCTGTTGCTGCCAGTTAAAATCACTTGCATATTAACCGGGCCTCCCTCACACCTCGGGTTATATGCGGAACCTTACTATTGGTGGCTGCTTAGGACTGGTGGTCTTTAACTGTTAAACTGCAAGCTTTCTGCAGCTGCCGAATGTGGATGTGTATTTGGCATTCCATTTTTTTTATACCAGTGTCTAAATCCCCCCATATTGGAGCAAAGAGCAACCATGTGCAGTAACCACATTTTTGAATTCGGCATCAAGCAAATTCTATTAGGCCTTTCTTTAGTATCATTTTGATTCAACATTTGGCACTTAGTTTTCTGAGTATTTGGAATATTTGAGCATATTAAGTTTATGCATAACTCTAACTGCTTTATCTGCTTTTTTTCCTGTATGTACATACAGATGGTGCATGCCAATCATGCCCTGGTTGATGGGAGCAATCTTGAATGCATTAGGTCACTACTTTACCTTTATCGGTCTAGAATTCTATACCTTTTCTGGTGCCTGTTCTTTCAGGGATTGTGTATAGCACCCATGCTACCCAATTACTGGGCAGCATTGATTGCTCAGGATGGACCTTCATCCTCCTGAAAGAAGGCACTAGCCACTTTTAGGATTTCCAGTTGCCCCATCTTTTTTTGGTACAGAAGGTCACTACAATCGGCTATAAAATGCATTGTTTTTTTGTTTTTGTTTCAGATTACGAAAATTTTGGTTGTTTGGGGTATCTATTGCCGTTGTCTCTAGGTTACTATTGTGTATTTAGTATTGTCCTATGTCAGAGTTCTGTATCTTTTTGTGGTGGAATGGGAGTATTTTACAGGCATGGTAGTGACTTAAAGATCTGGTACACTTGCTCCTTTGATAGTGTGGTCATTTGGAGTCCTTTCACACTGGCTTTCCAATCGGGTCCACCTGTCGGTCATGGAACTATCAGATCAGAGTTCCATTTCACCAGTCCTGATCATGGAGGATTGGGGATAATCTGATGTAAATTCACATCCAATTCCTCATAGACTAACATGGGTCCGGTATTTCTTTTCCATTGTAATACATGAATGTCACAACAAGGTGAACCTGTGTTTGCTTTGGAATACCCAAAGGAGCAGACCAAAATGCATGTCACAAGGTTTAACCCTTCCCCACAAAGTTCCACTTGGAGTGTGGGTGATTAACATCTATTACATGGTATGCAGATTTGCATACTGTATAACGGCACCACATATTTTTAATGTGGACCTTCGCCAAAATCAGCTAAATGAAGTCACTGGCCACATAGCCAGGACCTCACAGCTGCCCCTGGGAAGGTTATTCACCAGTGCCTTCCTGTAAGGTATCATCTGTAAGCTGTGAGATATTGCAAGATTTTGCAAAATCTCTTGATTGGGGGGAGGTTTCAGATGTGTATGGACACTAAAGGTGCCCATACACTGCTCGCTTCTCATACGAGAATCGAACAGTGTGAATGAAGACGTGCGACCGTTTCTACTGTACGGTCGCATGTCTTTTGTCTAAGGAGCATGTTAGAAAACCAGCCGAGAATCGTACGATTTTCGGCTGGTTTGAACGGTGCTCAGGAGACAAATGCCGAACGGGCCGGTGTGCGCACGCGCACACTGCACGTTCAGCATTGCGGTAATCGGAAGCCCGCCCCTCAGGGGGGCGGGCTTGCAATGATCGAGAGTGCGATCTGCCTGTCCAAGATGGGCAGATCGTACGTTTTTTTAATCGCTTTACAACCATCGCAAGATTAAAGGTCTTGCGATGGTTGTACAGTGTATGGCCACCTTTAGTGTGCCAAATCTCGTGTATATACCAGATCTGACTTCCATCAGTGGGCTGGCAGCAAAAACATGGAAGCCAGACACTAAGTCTACTAGTCACAATGGTGGTGTGGAATTGGAGTATTAGCATGTGGCAACATAGAAACAAAATATGCAATAAATTGTACTTAAGCCCTACACTTCTTTTTTTGTTTTTTTTTGTTCAATCCTATGAACTGAACACTCAATTACCCCATCCATGCTGTTGCTGCTGCTGAGCTATTCTGTTCTTGCAGCACAAATCCCATGGCTGTCAGTATACCCAAACAGTCACTTCAGCTGATTGGCTGCATTTGCTGTTCACCCAATGTCTTTTGGCTGAGCTCCTTTGACACGTCAACTAATCTTTTTGATAAGTGGTGCCGATAAGGCCACCCACGGCTCAAATTTCAGCAGTACTCTGCTGCAGTTTGAGCAGTGTTTGGTCAGCTTTGTTTGTTTTTGGTGTGACTACATTAATGGTGGCATTTTCATTTTGGAGGAGGGTGGGGTGAGGTCTCCAATTGCCTGAGACTGACATCTGATTGACCGCCATCTTTGGAGGCAGCTGCTAGCTGGTTTCCATCTAAAGCAGCCCATGCACACAAGGTGAGACTCTTGAATGGACAGATTTGGGAGGATGGCCTTAATGAGGCAAGCAATATAGCTTGTCCTGATTGCCCTCCTCCCAAAGATAAACAATGCCAACTCTGCCCTCCTGCTTCCCCTCTGTCTTTAGCTTACATTTACTAGGATGGCAAAACTGGCACTAAGTTTATGAGCAGGTTAGAATATTTGTGTAATCTTATCTGAACGAAGTGTTCCGGTGTAGGGGGTCGTAAACCTCATTTATCTCGCCTCCGCAATATTCAGACACCTGACCCAAAAAGCCCCCTTACAATCCTTTTCCATGTTATGGGTCTTGCGCACTAAAACTTAACAGCAATGCCTCTTCATGCTCCCAAATTGTTCTTTAGTACCTGTTCTACTGCTTCTGTTATGCAGCCTGCAGGGCTCTGCACAATGTTGTGGCTGTACATTTTCTATTTGTGTTCCTTGTTGCAGGGTTTGTAACCTTCATGCGAAAAAAAATGACAAACCAAATAAAACCTTTGCGAAAGAATATGTGTAAGCTTGGCCATAGACTCAGATATGTTATTACAATTAATAAGTGGTGGTGCATTTGTAGCTAAAGCCATGATCCCTGCCTTGGCTTGTAAGAAGTGAGCCACATACACAGTAATAAGTGTGCAATAACAATTGATATTGGGCTGATGAACCTCCAAACGAAACCCTACATGCCCTGATTCAAGCGTTCTTAATTTGGGTGCATAGATTGGTTCTAGGCTATCCAAAATAAAGGGACATTTGGGACTCATTCACACCACTTGTGGGCTGCATCGGACAGTGTTGCTCAATGCAATCCCAGTACAATAAAATGTAAAAATACAGTGGGGGTGTTTTGACTGTCTGCAAAAATTTTTGTTGCATAGACCAAAATCTCGTAACCAGTTTTCTTAGTGTTGTGGGGTTTTTTTTGTGTTTTTTTTTTTTTTGGTGTTGTAACATAATGTCTGACTCGCTGCATGTTTGCAACATTTCACATAATTTCT